GCGACCTGTAGTCCTTGATATCAAGAGCTCGGTCAAAATTACGCCATGCAATCTCTACGTTCTCGGTAATCTGTGGCATTTTGATTCTCATCATCATTTCCCGCCATAATGTACGATAACGTTTTGTATTCAAAGCACCAAGCTCGATCTCACGCATTAACTGTTTTTTCTTCAACATTTGAGCGTGTTCTTCAGCTTCATATTGTTTTTGATCTTTAATTTTCCTTTCTGCTTCCTCCCATCTAATCGCTCTTCCTTCTCTTGCATTTGTGGCAGGTATCTTTATTCAAAAACGTATATACAATAAAAAATATTTTTATCTATACACAAGTAACTTTTTTTATAACAAAAGACATAATTAAATTATTACGTATATTAATTATCAATTATTGATAAAATATTTAATTATATAAATTCTATCCAGTCACGATAGAATTTTTATTCAATTTTTAATTTTATTGAGTGATTAATAACTATCTAATTAATAATTAATAATTATTTAATTATACAAGTCATTTTGAAATTTTATTTATAAGAAAAATAACTACTTCAAAAAAATCAATGTTTTTAGCAAAATATTTACTTTTTAAAGAATTTTATATAACAAATTATAAATCAATAATATAATAAAATATATAAGGTAAATATATATAAAATAAATTACTGTTTTATAAAATTAAAAATTTTTATTTTCTAAATAGCATTGTATTAAAAAACGGTTTTTTATATACGGTATTACATATTACAACATTCAATTACAATATTTTAATGCATAGAGAGGACTTTTTAAAAAATATAGATATTGAAAAGCAATTTTAAGATATTTAGAACGTAATTTTTTACTTACCATTGGATATATTTTTTAAATCACGTCGTACTTTTTAACAACATAAAATTTTTAGGCTAATTTTTTCTATACGAGAAGTATGTGTTTGTCGCGATTCTCTTATTTTATATTTACAAATTGGTGAAAGGAATTAGAAAAAGAATTTAAAAAGAAGAAAAAATGTACTTATATTTTACTTGCAATTACTAAATAAACATATGTAATATTTCAAACATGAGAAGTGATTGAGATATACGCAATATTAATTAATCAAAAATTTTAACAGATTTTTAATATTTTTTGCAATTTATTTATAAAAATAAAATAAAAATAAAATAAATATAAAATAAATAAAAAATATATTCTTATTCTCAACAAAAAATATTTGTGTATGAGTAATTTCAAAGTTTTTTTTTAATTTGTATATTTGTACTTAAGTTTGTATATTTTATAATCATAATTATTGCTAGATATGCCTGTAACATTATTAGAATCGCGCGCACCAGAATATCTAGAATCTAGAAATAGATTTATCATTGATTATACAGATTTGATCAACAGATTGAACAATCTGGTCGGTGTTCTTCCAAGGTACGAAAATAGCTAATCACTAAAAAAAAAGAGAAAGTTAAGTCATTTAATGCAATAGTATAATTAAATTAGCATCTTTCTGTTACTATGATCAGATCATCAACGACAAGGTCACGTTATACATGTAGTAGTTAAGTTATAAATTAAAAAACACGTGTAACACGTTTACACACACACACACACACACACACACACACACACACACACACACACACACACACACACACACACACACCCTTTCCTAAGAACATCATTGTATTGTTACGATTTTATTCTATTATGATGTAACCAAATCTTTGTGATACTAACAACACATAATGATGAAATATTCTGTCATTTATCTTTTTAACTACATTATATAACAGACATTATATACAATTTAAGCTAAAATTTACAATTGACAAAAAATAAGCTTTCAAAAATAAATTGAAAATACACACTGAAAAATACAAATTGAAAATACTCACACATACATAAAATGATATCATGCAATATTAAACAGTAAATTTAACTATGTATTTTAATATGCAATAAGAAAAATAAATATATTAGTTAATATAAAAATTATTAAAAATTTAAAATAAAAAATCATAGTTATAATACATTTCTATTTTATTGCATATTTTATCTTATTGCACATCAAATAATTGCATATAATTACATATAATATATAATAATTATGATATTTAAGTTATAAGATTTGACAAAACTCTAACATATTTTGTTATAATTTTAATATTTCAGAAATCTTAATATTATCTCTCATACAAATATGCACACAATGCAAATTTTGTATGATAAATGTTTTTAAAATATGACTCTTGAGAATTTGTTTTAATAATAAAATATATACATATGAATATTATAAATAAATATATATATATATATGAACATTTATTAAAAGACATACATTTTTGTGAACAGTTAAATATAATTACAGATACTTTAAGAAAAATATAATTAGGTACACATATAGATACATTTTATCAATAACTAGATATAGATACAGTAATTTTAAAATATATCAATATAAATACATTTCTAAATATAATTTTTTTTAATATTTAATTTGATGATCTTATATTTAGGATGACGTTAAGTACAGACTTAAGACATTATTAGTTAATCAAATGGCCGTATTACATCTTTATGTTTAAGATTCTTAATGAAAGAACGGACTATGAATACCGTCTATAGATATGGAAATGATAGTGCATAATGACATTTTTATTTACGCATGTATTATTAGAATACGTTTGCCAATGAAAATTGGGAACGGAAGATTAAACAAATAGCAAAAAAAAATATCGAAAGGAATGAAGAAACACTCTTTGAAAGAATTATTTCAAAATTGTATCTATGTATTTAAAATAATATTTTAAATTTTTAAATATGGAAAAATGTAACTAGTTATTAGATTAAAAAATTTAATTTAATTGTACGTATAGATGCACAAAAGATATTTAGATAATATAACTAGATACATATAATTAGATACCTTATAAATATTTGAGAGTAATATGTTGTATAAAGCAACGAATAACATTTAATTAGCATTAAATTCAAACGCATTAAATTCATTCGTGTTTGTACGTTTTAAATTTAAATTATTAAGGTACAAAACCAGAGTAAAGGTGATTTAAAGCCAAGCCTCTTTATGTTTTCAAAATGTCATATGTAATTAACATTCTGTAATAAAACGAATATAACAAAGATCTCATTTAGCTATGTCAAAATATCATTCCAAGAAGAAAATGTCAAAGACAATGTTCCAAACATTAAAAC